TTTTTTTTTCACTAAATGTTAAGTATCAATGTAATCGTTTTTATAATAATAGATTAGTACACAATTGTATGTCAACACATTATTTATTACCTTAAACTGTCTGGAATTTATTATTAAAGGGTTGCTCTTGCGTAAAATTTACTATCGTGAAAATTCAGCTTTTTTGCGTTTTGGCTAATCTCATCCCTGCAGTTAGCAAATACACGTATACAAGAAATACTACTCAAGTGAGTTTCAAAACACTATGATCACGTTATGACCCAAATTGCTTCAAAATACACCGGAAACATTTACCCGGAAGTATAGGCAGTAAAGGGCTTGCAGTGCACCCTAGTGTAGAAAACACCATCTATATCCTAACGGCCACAGTACATTGGTGTCCAAGTTACATTTACACTAGACATATGTGTTAGAGTATGCTTAACTTTTGGATACCAATATACCTAAGCCGTTTTTCAATGTTATCGCAATAACTATATCAATGCATTTATTAAAAATACAATGAAAATGTAAGTCGGTTTCAGATGATGAACATCTCTCCAGTAAGAATCATTTCTGGATGAAATTTTTTTTTGTAAACAATGAAGACCTGAAACAGGATGCTAGATCGCGGCTGTCATCTTCGTTGATTCAATAGTATTTTGAGTATTTTACACCAGGAGTGTAATATTTTTTCATTTACTAAGTCCCACAACTGGATTTCAATGGTTAAAATAGTTGTAAGCTATGATTTATGTTGAGAGAAAAAATACCTTTAACAATCTAAGAAATTGAAAAGCAATCAGATATACCTGAAAATCTTCTTTCTCACTCATATCAAGAGCGTCTTCTTCAATTTCATCTGCTCCCTGAAATACAAGCATTATTTTACTTCATCTTTATTCTTTAAATTGTGGGGTAAATTACCAAAATATCTAAGATCAGAATGAAGCAAATATTTACATACCTTGATTTCTAAAATTTTTTCGATTATTAAATTTAATAAATTATTCTATAAAATTATATTTTGCATGGAATTATCTTTCAATAAACGAGTTTTATAATTGGGTGCATAAGTTTTTAGTTTCGCTTGAATAGTTCCAGATACATGGAATAATGTGCAAAAAGTAAAATTAATATTGCGAAGACGAAAGATGATATTATTTTAACTCTTTCTTGACAAAACTATAGTGGCGATATTTTTCAGAATGTGGTTACCCCCCCCCCTCCATTTTTAGGGTCAAGAATCGAATCCGAATCCGTCGGAAAAAAAGTTATGTTCATTAAAAAAAAAAACTTTTTTTCTTGTCTGTTTTTGTATTGTCAACACATACTAATTCGCACATTTAATTCGAATTCGCTTCCAGGTTTTTAAAGTTATTCCCTTGAAACATTTAATTGCATTTTAATGCTTCGATCATTAGAAAACCCGATCATCGGACAAAAAATTATGTGTTCGTTCCATTTAATACTTTGCACTCAGTACATTATCCACCTGTGATTACTTAATCAAACTATGGAATATGGAATCATATTTGTGCATTTTATAAGACTGTGAATGATTGAAAGCTATAAAATATTGTTGATTGTTTTTTGTGGGTCAAAAATCTAAAAAAAAAAATCGAATTTTTTTGTTTACCAAGAAAACAGTGTGGATGAAAATTACAAATGTCCGTATTTATTTTGCTCCTCACCTAAAAATATTTACTTTTATTATCATTATAAAAAGGGATTTCTGTAGAAATGTTGATACCTGATTTTAAACCTATTTTCTTGTTATTATTAATCATTTTTAAATTTGTGTTTTTTAAGAGAAAATTTTTAATATGAAAAATCTCTGAAAGTCTGAAGTTTCTGTATGATACTTATAAGATAGGCCAATATACAAGAAGATGCTCTGTCATCATCTCTCTTAAACGCCTTATATATGAAACATAAAAAACTTCAATTAATCTTTTTATGTTATTTCTTTTCTATAAAACAAATCCTAATTAATTATTCTAATCGAAACACTTTCTCATACTTTTAAAAAGCCACATCCTGTTCTTAAATCTATTTTTGGCTCAAGTATGCATAATTTAAAGTAAAGACATTTTCCCCTTTACTCTTTGTGGGAATCTCACGTGACCTATTTCATAAACCAATAGTAATTTTTAAGATTTCCCTTTTTCCCTAAAATATAATAAAATAGAGAGAAATTCATTTGCTACTTTCCCTAGCATAAAAACTTAAGCATATAGTTTTGGAGTGCAAATTTGAGCTCCACCATTGATGGAAAATATATTATGCTATATATATTCGATAGACGTCGCTCTCCTTAATAAAACTGTGAGAACTATTTCGATGGAAAAGAAGAGTAGGAGTTGTAAATGTTAAGCGAACCTACGTGGTTCGAGAATGATTCTGTGTGAAAGCTTTTTCTAAATTATTAAATGATAAGTATGATCCTTATTAGGGCCGGGCTAGCTTGATCGGTAAGGCGCCGAGCCTATGTCCAAGAGTTCGTGGATTCGAACCCCGCCGGCCGAAGACTCCCCGTGTAGTAAAGTGACTGATGCACATTAAGTCTGTCGAGTCGCAAAAGTCCTCCACGTTCCCATAACAAATCAAACCTCTGAGGGTACTGGATTGGAGATCGATCGTTGTCTGATTCAGGTCAAAATTACGATCTTATGGATGAATGAATAGTTGTATGAATGAGTCCGCCTTATAAACGGGTGCGACGTATGGTGTGGCAGAAGTCGAATTCTTGGCCATAGATGGCGCCACTGAGAAACAAGAAACGCACCCTCTGCTTTAAATCTGCTTAAATCGGTTTCACCAAACAGGCTTGCCAGTGTGGCAAGTGACATTAGAAACAACAACATGATCCTTATTGGTTTTGATTGACTTAATTAATGATCATCCTACATATATATACATACATTTATGAGAAAATACTTACTGGCCCCTCACTATCTTCAGAATAACTTTCAGTCTACGAAGAAAAAAGAAGCAATTATAAAGTGAAGACTGCACTGTTAAATTTGTTTTAACTTCAAATATTTTCACAAAATAGGTTGTTTTCTTAACACTTCCAGTTCTTATATAAAATTAGGAAACAAGTAAAAATTTTCTAACCAGCCTTTTTCTAATTGGTAGCTAAAATTATTTTAAAAATAGGATAAATTTAGATAGATATTTCAGTTTTAGCTTAAAAATACCACATTCACGTTAGTATATACTTTATAACTAAACTAGCTGAATATGCGTTCTTCATACGGATTAAAAAATAAAAAAGTGAATAATTACATCTATATTTACTAACACTACGAAATCATGCACGAAACTGTAAAGCACATACACGAGTAATAAATAAAGTTAAAATAATTCCAAATTTTTCGATTTATTATTTGTTGTCCTTCTCAATGACTTTTTTTTATTAAAGGGCTATACGTATAACCTTATATATTTTGGGGAAACCTTTGGGTTAACCGTTTTCTTGAAGGAACCTCTTGATCAAAGAGTAGAAAAAAATAAGATATCAAAGCTTTATCCTACTCAAATTTACAAAATTATTATTACATTTTTATTTTATCACAATAAAAACATGTTAATAAGATAATGAATAATAATGTTAATAAGATACATGTTAATAAGATACATGTTAATAAGATAAACAAAACAAACACGTGGTTTCATATCACTTCAGAAATATTAATTCGGTGGATTGCAAGGTAAACATATTTTTACGCTAATTTAACCTACATATTTTACAATAATAAAGTGCAAAGGAAATCGAAAGAATAGTTCTTACAAAATACAAATTTAAACATAAAATTTCTTTGGGAGGGCAAAATATAAAAAAGTGAAATAATCATCAAGGAGACCAAATTTTTAACCACCCTCCTGCCTAAGCTCTTAGCACCGTATTTTTAAGATTTTGGTACATTTGTACTCCCTACATTTTGTTGATTAGAAAATCTAAATCCGGAGAATAATTAGCTCATTTGAGGTCACCCTTTTGGGTAATTTGGATCGACTCATCGGGAAAATTATCGTAACAACATATTCTCGAAAGTTTTTTTTTTTTTTTTTTAAAGTCTTAGTCACAGTGGAGACCTCTAGCAACCCTAATAAGAAACTTTTAGTTGATGTTGTGAATTTCCAGACTAAACTCTTTACAATTTAGTGTTTCTGTCATATTTTTGTTTTCTCCTGTAAAATTTTTTTTTACCAAATTCTATAACATAATATTTTTAACAGGATAGCGAAAAGAAAAATATGCATGAATAATTGATCTGTAAGAATTTATATAGTATAGTAATTATGAGAAATAACCCTATATCCATATTGATAAAAGTATACGGAACAGTTAAAAGAAATTTCATAATGTATTAGGAACAATAGTTACCCAGTCTTCAAGACTTTCATCTTTAAATTTAAAAGGTCTTTCTGACATTAAGATTTTTCGTAATTTAGTCATTTTAGGTTTCTTCTGCTTTTTACTCTCCAAAATATGAAACATGTCTTCCAAATCCCTCTAAAAAATTCAATGCTTGAATTACTCTTGAAATTATCTATCAACTAACAAATGTGAAATTTATAAGAATGCATCTTACACTTTCTTGATCATCTAACAAACCATCAAGATTGTAAGAAGACTTGGAGGCCAGTTTTCTTTCTTCCTCCCTGCTTCTATCCCATTCTTCTAAACTTTTTAATCGGAACCGTTGCGATACTCTCTATTTGTCATTCATACAAAAATTAATTACGATACAAACATAAAACAAGTATCATTAATACAATATTTAATTACAATACTAACATAAAACAAGTGTCATTAATACAAAACTTAATTGCGTTGCGATACTCTCTGTTTGTCATTATTGCAAAAATTAATTGCAATACAAACATAAAACAAGTATCCTTAATACAATATTTAATTACATAACTAACATGAAACAAGTGTCATTAATACAAAACTTAATTGCGTTGCGATACTCTCTATTTGTCATTCATGCGAAAATTAATTGCAATGCAAACATAAAACAAGTATCCTCAATACAATATTTAATTACAATACTAACATAAAACAAGTGTCATTAATACGAAACTTAATTGCGTTGCGAGACTCTCTATTTGTCATTCATGCGAAAATTAATTACAATACAAACATAAAACAAGTATCCTTAATACAGTATTTAATTACAATACTACCATAAAACAAGTGTCATTAATACAAAACTTAATTGCGTTGCGATACTCTCTATTTGTCATTCATGCGAAAATTAATTGCAATACAAACATAAAACAAGTATCCTCGATACAATATTTAATTACAATACTACCATTAAACAAGTGTCATTAATACAAAATTTAATTACAATACAAGCACAAAACAAGTATCATTGATATAATGATCATTGCAGGGGATAAAACGATGCCACAGAGCGTGTATAACTTAACAATATCGGCAATTTATAATGGTCATATACAAGAGTTTTACATTAAGTGTTTCGTATATAGGTTTACGACCAATTCTTTTTAGCCATTTATTTTCACCAAATCAAAGTTGTAGACATCGTGAAACCGGGAACCGTTATCTTTTCTTTGTATTGTATTAATTATTTGTATCAATTATAGATAATGTTTCAATTTAACACGTCAGGGGGTATAAACACAAGAAAACAAGTATCAGTAGACTATCTATCAATTTAACATTTGCGTTAAACTGAGTTAAATTAACAAAAGACAAATGTCATAGATACGAAACTCAATTATAATACAAACATAAAGCAAGTGTCATTGATATAATGATCATTGCAGGTGATAAAACGATGCCTAAAGCATGTATTACTTCACAATGTCAGCAAATTCATATGCAAGCATTTAACATTTATTGTTAGGTTTATGACCAATTCTTCGCTTACCATTTATTTTTATCAAATCAAAGTTGCATACAGCGAGAAGCCGGGAACCGTAATCTTTTCTTGCATTTATTTGATATCATTTATTTACATGATATCATTAGATAATGTATCAATTTAATACTTCAGAGTGAAAAAATTTGATCTAATGATCGGATCTTCACGTTCTAGGACTCAATCTTAATGGCTCGAGGGGGTGACCTCAAATATGCTAATTAATAAGTGCATACGATATTTAAAGTTACGAAATCATACACAAAAACCTTTCCCTGAATAAATGTACCTTTTTTACGATGGATTCGGATTTCTGACCTACAAAATATAGGGGTAACAGCAATCTGGAACATATGGTCCCAATAGTTTCGTCAGGAGAGTGTTCCAATATATCTTGGAAACTTTTTAAGCGAATTAAAAAAAAATTGTGTACAATTATAAAATTCATTTATTCAAAGATAGTTCCATGCAAAAAGTAACCTTTGTTAAAATTTATTATTTTTATTATTTTATTTTATAATAGTCAAAAAAAATTTTTGAATTGTAAGGTATACAATTTTTTGCATAATTTTAAAGAATATAATTTTACATGACAGAATGCAAAATTTGAGTGAAATCGGTCGAATATTTCCTTAGAAATCGAATTTTAAATATCTGACTTTTTGACTGACTGAAGAAAACAAGTATCAATTAATAATGTAACAATTTAACACTTCAGAGTGTATACACATAAGAAAACAAGTATCAGTAGATAATGGATTAATTTAGCATTTGACTTCATACACATGAGGAAACAAATCGAAAATAAGCAAATAATTTGCACCGTCAAAAATATTTTTCCCATTCGGAATGTGTGTGATGCGAGGTTCTAAATTTTTATAACAGATTCTGTGTTTAGTTTTTTATAGAATGCTCTAAAACAAATAAAAGTCATGCTGCAAACTAAATTCTTCAAAAATATTTTAGAATTTTTCATAACAGAATAATGTTTTATAAATAAGCGTTTTATAGATGTTTCAGTTTTTAAATGTTTTTTGTCATATGTATGTTATCATGGATTAATGACTTTTATACTGAGTGAATGTAGGCCAGGGGTTCTCAATCCATGGATCATGATCCAAACTTGAATCTCTGGATCTTCTGAGAAGGGTAGATGAAGTTTTGTTAAAAAATAAAAATTATGTAAGTAACTTTTTCGTAAACCCTTTTTGAAGACACGTAAAAAAACGTGTGAATTTATAATACATAATTCTTGCTTTTATTTAAGTGGTTCATTTCATAAATGATGAATTTAGCCAATATTAATGTGCAGGATTTTCTATTTTGACAAACCCAAACTTTTCTGTTGCATTCAGCTTATCAGTGAATATTTAACAAAAAATACCAATGAATAATAAACTATGTTAATAGATATTCACTGATAAGCTAAAATCAAATCTCAAAACTGATCTGGTGTTGATTGTGTATCAAGGGTAAAAACAAGTTAAAAACTTCTGATATAAACCATTACAGCTGTATATTTGTGAAATACAATGTTCAGACAATATTTTAAAACAAGAGGTGTGTACAGCGTATATGTATGATTCTCGTTTTGAAAGTGCATACCCACCGCTCCCGACAATTGAACAGTTAATTTGATTATTTTATTCGTGCAAAAAATTTAATTTCGTGAGAATTGCTTCAGTTTTTATTTCTGCTTATTAGTTTTTGTTTTTGTATATCATTATTATAGAAATTTTTGTTCCTAATCATAATCCACTTAAATACTTTTTATAATGTGATACAATATCTTTTTTCATTTATACGTACAGGGCCATAAAATGTTGTCTATCTAGAGTCATAGTAACTTTGTATTTCTGATTTCTAATGCTCTTTCTGATAATGCACAAAAAAGATAGGCAGGTTGATTTAGTATTTTCAAAAAGTATTATTTAGTTTATTAGTATTTTCGTAAGACACACAAACACCGTGTCAACGATGTCTTCGTAAATAATTAGTTAAAATAGCTTTAAAAAAATGGCATTTGACGTATGGGGGTAAAAAAATTTCTAACGTGCATAATTTCAAGACTCAATCTTCTTGGTCTGCTGTATCAGACAAAATCAATTTTACTACATACTAAATAATAAGAACTGTGATGACTCAAGGGATAGAGCATTCACCTTCCAATGCAGTGAACCGGGTTCGAATCCAAGCGACGACTGGTCGATACGAATTCCGCATCCGGCTTGCACCGACCACAGTGTTGACTTGAAATATTTTCAATGGTAGACGGATCATGGATTAGAGTTCCCTTGCCGTGAGGCTAACAATTGGAGGTTTTCGTGGTTTTCCTCTCAATTTAACGGAAATGGAAGATAAGTTCCATCAAAAAGACTTCTACGAAAGAAAATTTCACCCAATACTTGATCCCTTGTCTTCTGGATTGGGTTCAAAATTACTAGGCTACGGAGTTGAGCGTTAGTAGTCGTAAACCCAAAAATTGGGTCGGCTGTTGAACTGCGGTTATAAAATAAAATAGTAAATAATAAATAAAATATATTTCCTGAACTAATTATCGAATATAAAAAGTTTCAGGACTTATCTTATTTCTCTGCAGAACTTAAATATTTGATAATTAAGTACGAAATAACTTCCGAGAAGCGAAACTAATTATAAAACAACATTGAACATCTATATAGCGTCAGTGACTTTTCGACATTTCATATTGATAGACTAGTATCTGACAATCATTAGTATTTTTTTAAAATTTTTTTCTACATTTTTCACACAGAAATTAAAGCTCTACGATTTAGCAATAATTACAATCAATAAAACCCTTTTTTTGTTGTTCTGGTTTGCCTTTGACTGCATGATTTTGACCACAGTTTCAATCATTAATCACATTGCTTTGTGCATCTTACATACCTCTAGGATCAGTGTTACACTGGGAGCTTACCGTCTATTAAAATTCTCATTAGGATATCTAAATACTATATGTTTACTATCCATATTTTTTTCTTCTTTTTTTAAGGCAACCCACCCTTTTTCTTTAAATAGTTATGAAAGGATAAAATGAAAAATTATTATCATACCCATTCAATTAAATCTTTATCACTAAATTTATCAATGTAATTCTTCTTAGTGACTCTTCGTTTCCACGTGAGACTTTGAGAATTTGGATGTTCCAAAACATAATACGCTTTTGAAAGCTCCATCAAATCTTTCTAAAACAAATAAAATGTTTGTTATTCCCTACAATTAGCTTTACCTTCTTGAATTTGACGCGTCAAAATAAAACTTAATCAAGAAAATGCGTGTTCATTTAAAAGCCATGGATTACTCATTAGAAATTTAAATTACAATTAGTTTGTACTAATTTACTTGCTTATTCTCAAGTAACAATGATGCATGGAAGTACTGGTAAGTAAATTTAAGTATCAGAAAATAAGTGCGATCAGTTATGTCTGTCTCGTGGAAAAATCTGTTATTTCGATGTCTCGAAATTTTGCAAGAACACAAGTAAATAAAACAATATTCATAATCCATGTTTATTACAGGTGGAGGCTACTTGGTCGAACAGGTATACTACAGAAAGGATGAATGATGGGATCAAATGCATAAATGTATGGAAATAATTATACAATATATGTATATATATNTATATATATATATTTGTTTTTCCTTCACAGCGATTTGTGTTAATTGTTAGAATAATAATATATCTATTTTTAAGGCAATTTTTATTTTTTACTCCATAGCGGTAAGTTTGCTTCCTGCTTTTTTTCTTTCATCTGAAACTCATTTTCAATTACATTTTTATTTTTTAGTGATATAGACGCATTATAAAGAACAATTTTTATTTTAAAATACTTTTTTTTTATTGGAAACGTATTCTGTTGGCAAATTTAGAAACTAATTTTAAAATTTCCTGTGAATAAATTGTTGGTTTACTAAGAGAAACGCAGCAAGCCGTATGTTTCTGTCTCCTGTTTTTTTTTATCATCGATTTTTCAAATCTTCATTTTTTGTGTCATTATGTATGTTTCTAATGATTGACTGAAGTATTTAAATAATAATGATTAATTAATGAAACGATAAACCATCTTGACTTACCCAGTTATCGATTTCACCAGCTCTGATCGACACAACATCCTTCTGTCGAAGGTGTTCGTTTTTCTTCCCTAAACGCTCTTCTTCTTCTGCTTCTTCTTCTTCTTCATCAACTTCTGACTCCTTCGTTTTATTAACTTTCTTAAACATGACAAACTGTTCTTCGACTTCTACGGACCTCTGTTCTTTTTTGCGAGCATTTTCTAAATCATAGAATAATTCTAAACGGTGGAGGCGTAGCGTATCTGATAGATCACCCTGGAAAAATACAAGTTTGCAAATGAAACTAGCGATACTATTTTGTTGAGAAAGACTGTTGTTAACCTATTACCATTATCTCAAATGTTAGTTCCCTTGTTATTAAAAATTAAAAATCATAATGCACGTGCACGTTATAATTATTTCAATAATTTTCTTCCTCACCATACATCTGCATTAAGTTATGAATAAATAATATGTTTGTATTAAGAAATAGTTATTTTTATCAGCTAGATTAATTTGAACAAATGTGTACTCAATTTTTTAATTTTTTTTATCCCTTCGCATTATAGCAACCATAGTGTTAATGACTAATATGTAGAAATTTAAGGATTTTTTTTTCTTCTTCCGCGACATTGTTATATCTAAAATATCTGAAATATATTAAATGTCAGTGGGGCAGAAATTTCACCGTAAAATGAAATGAATTAGTAACAGTAAAGATAATTCAAAAATTTTCAAAAAATAATACTACCTTAACGACAAATTGTTAAGTACCCTACTCTTAATGAGTGGTAAAAAATGAAAAAACTGCATGTGGCAGGTTTTAGCAGAAGGAGGAAAAGTAAAAGGAAAGACAAATTTAAATACTGCTATTCTGGCAATGGAGATTATGCAGTTTTTATTTTACGCTGATTCGAAAAAGAGCAAATGCGAGACGATTTGACTATTAAGTAGTTCCAAGAAAAATACATTTTGGTTAGCCGAAAGCAAGCGAAAAATCGCCAAAAAATGTAGACTTCCGCCAATTTTTTTAAAAATATTTCTTATTTTATATATTTTGTTAAACACATAAAAGTTAAGTGAAATAAAAAAAATAAATAAATAAAAAATATTTTAATTTATCTACGCCCGGCTAACCGGAAAGTACTTTCAGTAATTATAAGAGTTTCATTCATACAAAGTTTAATTTAAAAACTATGCTTTTCACACCAAAAAGAAAAGAAAAAAAAAAAAAAAAAAAAAAAAAAAAAAAAAAAAAAAAAAAAACCTCTTCGCAACTTTTGAGCTGATAGTTCTATAGTCCTATTAACTCGTGTTTGATTTCATTCGATAAAACGTAGTTGAAATGGTTATAATGAATTTATTTTCAGACAAATATTTATTTAGAAATGATGCACTCTTCAAAGATCATTTTAGATTATCTTCTGATCATCATTTTAAAACTAAAAAAATGCAGTTAAAAATCATAAATGTCGTATAAAGTTAAATCATTTTACTTTATATTTGGAAAGCAGAGCTCTTATTAATTCATCTGTCGAAGCTTTTGAAGTAACATCCAATTTCATTTTACAGCCTACGAGATTTTCAATTTTGCGCATTTCTTTTTTCAATTCCTCAACCATTTTGTTTGGTATCCGATAAATAAAAATATTTTAGAGAGTAATTTTATCAGGAGAAGTTTTTCGTTTTATACTCTACTTTGGTTGAATTCACTCATTTATTCTCAACAAATCTAAAATTTTAATGGATTCTTTCTCTATTTTTTTTAAAATAATAATATATTCTTTCTTAGAAACGCAACTTTTCACATTAATGCTCATGACAACTTCATAAATGTCAAATCCGTCCCACATGAACACGTCAAAAGCTCTTTTCTTATTTCTTTTAAACTTTTGTGTTTATTCAGTAATTTTCCCTGTCCTCGGTTTCGGAACGATATGTCATGTCTTTTATAACTCCAGAAACGTTTGTTCTAGGGTTCTGAAATTCGTCTGAATCTGAACCATCTACTACTAAATTAACCCCCGTTCCTAAAAATCATTTAAAAATTTTAATTAGTCCGTTCGAGAGAGATGTTTATTTCTTCACAATAGTTTTACATTAGTCATTGCTATAAACAAAGCTGAAGACGATTCTATAATTAGACGATTCTGTAAATTATGACAATCATGAAATGGCTTCCAGCAACAGCATCATGCCAAACGATACTGATTTGTTTTCATAGGATGAACTTCTAAAAAAGTGTTATTCTTAATCTAATAATGTACAGTCAATGGCAAATTCAGTAAAAAAAACGGAAGCATTTTAGTTTTATTTATAGTGTCGATATGTCTTCCAGCTTCTTGCACGACTTCGTAGTAATAATTCGAGCTGCGGAGCCGGTTGCTGAAATGTTTGAATCCAACTGAAACTGCGCACTTTTCCGAGAACTTAACTCAGATTCTGACATTAAATTTTCCTCCGAATCCCAGGAAAGTTGTTACGATGTAATCGCTTTTTCTTATTTGTAATTCTTTATTTGTAATTTTTTAAAAACCTTTTTGTAATATAATTCAATTAATATTATTCATTTAACTCATAATTTGATTGCTGTTGTAACATTAAAGCGTTCTATATTTAGTTTCTATCTACCTATTATGCTAATAATAGAGTAGATAAGCAGATTTATGTTCCGCAGTGGACTGATCGTTAAGACGCTGTTCCCAGCAGATCACTGGCTGCGGTCAGTGTGCGGGTGGGTGACAACTTGGATTAGTGTTTGCGTAGGGAGTAAGGGTGTGCGGTATTGGTCCTCGTTAAACTGTTCTACCGTAAAGCGCTCGACTTCGTGTGCAAGTCATCGGGCTATCAAAGCGGGGGTGCTATCCCCTCTGCAGAGGATCAAAATTGTGATGGCATGTCCTTGAATCCTCCTCAGGGATGTTTCCCAGACCGTTGCCAATAGCCCATTGTGCAGCTCTAGTGCGACGTAAATGAACCACCACCACAACAACAAAGCATATTTATATCAGCTTTTCTTACTAGTTAAATGTATGGACCTCATATTAAGTTGTTCTGTCAGTTCCAAATTTAAAAAGATGAGAAAACATTGAAGAAAAAAATAATGAAGTGCAAATTTGTTAAAGACTTGATGAATCTTAAGATGAAAAAGTATGATATGAAATAATTTTACTAAATTTATTTGGTCATGCACGAAAAAGTAAGAAGTAAAATGTGAATTGAAACTTATAAGAATCCAGTTGATTTATCAGATATTAAGCTAATTTTTCAGATATTAAGTTCGTTTTATATAAATTTTTATTTTAAAAGTTATTATAAGAATTTCTTATAAAATTCCTAAAGAAAACAGTCGGAAAAGTCGGCTGTTTTTTTAAACTTTATTATTGTTATATTCAAAAGCAGCCGACTTTCCATCTGCCTTCTATAAAAATTGACTGTTTATTTAGCGTTGTTTTTTATTCGAAAGCAATCGACTTTTCATCTGCCTTTTTTATAAATTTTCTGAGAAATTTCATGCAACACATTTTGTGATAAAATTTTTATAAAATGAATATAATATCTGGAAAATTAATTGAGACTATATCAACTCGATTCTTATAAGTTACACATAATATTTTATTTCGTACTTTTTTGTACAAAACCATACGAAAGTTGCTTCCTTAACTTGTTTAAAATTATTTTATTTGCTTACCGTGATTAATTTGCCCTTTATATCGGAAAATCCGAAAAAATATCGAAATAAACTATTTAATCATTCCTATACTACTTTGAAATTTAAATAAAGTAGGAAGTAGTGCTTTATTTTTCAGACATGAGTGCGTAGCTATGAAAAATCTGAAGGTGATACATGCCCAGAGGAAATTTTCTTAAGTCGGCAGACGATGGCAGTAATTTTTCTTTTTCTATTTTCAATATTTAGAGATTTATGAGCAAATTGCAGCTGTATTTGAATTCGCGTTTCCGTCTCCAGTGGCGCAATTGGTTAGAGCGCGGTACTTATATTGCAGTGCTTGCGAGAAATGCCGAGGCAGTGAGTTCGAGCCTCACCTGGGGAAGGAGTATTTTTAATTTATATCTATGACATTATGCACTCTTATCAAAAGATTATCAAAAATCACTTTAATGGAGGATAAAAAGCCCGTTTATAGTTGAGTTGGAAGTCTCTTTTCCGAATAAAAATATTTCTCTTCGATTTAGCGAATTTTAAAAAGTATACAAATATTTAAATTGGTAAAAGTTACAATTATGAATGGATTTTTATATTTTAATAAAATTAAAACATTTTAATTCATTAGAGAAACAAAATTAGATACTGCAGACATTTCTAAAATAATACTGACTGAAAATTTATAAAATTCTAAGAACATAAATAATAAATGACAAGTTGTTTTATTATCAGGAAAAATTAATGATTGCCACCGGATAACAAAATTTCACAAGTAACTATTAAAAAATTGTTTGCCAATCGCCACGCGATCACCATTTTTCTCGTCGAAAATGTGACCCGTGTTCATTTTTTTATTAGTTTTTTTTAATAAATATGAAATTATTATGAATATTTTATAATATTTTAAACTCTATTTCACTTGTTTCTCATGATTTTTCTTCATTTTAGAAATAAGCCTTGTAATGCTTACCATATTATAAGAAATATTTCAAAATAAATGCCGTCTCACAACAATTTAATAATAATCTCAACAATTTTTTAATTGTTTAAATTTTCAGTTTTTGCAAAATGTGGCCACTATTAAAAATGCAACAATTGACCACTTGGCCATTGCTGATTGGCAATTTTTTTAAAATTTTGCCCTATGTGTTCTATAAAGGTCCTTAACTTTTATCTCAAGCTTCTACTTATTTAAAATTTAATTTGTTTGCATTACATTTTGAAATAGGCTTTCATCCACTTCCTATTTTATCTACTTTTTTGATTTAAGGGTTTAATAAAAAATAAAGAAAAATGATACCAAACTGGAATGATGAAAGGGACAAAATTAGCCCGTTTTACAGCACGCCACTGATTCAAGCTGATTCAACTGATTCAAGCAATCAATCCGGCAACTATATACTGAAATCGGGGGATACATTATAATGTATCATTAGTGTGTTATGTAAATATAATATAGGAGAAAGTGGACTAAGACAGGGTACCTAAGATTCGAAGGTTTGTTGCTTAGTTGTGTAAAAAATTCCTGAAAAGTCATAGATGTTCTGCGTCTTTTTATTGATGACGTTTTTTTTCTACAAAAAGTCAAATCACCCGGTCTTACTCAAGGGGTAAAACGGATACACATGCTAATTCCATGTAAAATTTAGAATCATTAGAATCTCATAAAAATGTAGCAGAAATTTTTACTTTAACTGGCAAATTATGAAAATTATGCATGTATACTTGTGATGTAGTCAAGGCCGTATTCAAGGAAGAAAGAGAGAGAGACAATCCCCTGAGCCCCGAACTGCTAAGGATGCTACCGAAATTCCTTCCAAAATATATAGACCTTATTGTTTCCTACTTGGTTCCTAAATCCTTAATGTTGATTAGGTTATGAATCTTCAGCAAACGTATAACACATTGAACTAAAAATAATTTTTATAACTGTAACGACCAATAAACAAGCCAAGTTTAAAAACAAAAGAACATTAAAGAGTTGACATAGAAAAGCAAACTTATCTACGCAACACAGTGAATTAATCAACAAAAACTAAGTCATCAACAAAAACTAAAGTGTAATGCAGAGTTTTTCCGTTGGGTGACAGAACTAATTTCGGCACAAATCAGTTATCGCACTTTACCTTTTGGTCTTATTAAATTTTTTTTAGACCTCCGAGAGTCTTCAGGCCTATGTGGATGAATCGTGTGTCATAGTTTGTCTTTTCCTATTTAGTAATAACTTAATTATTTTCGCAGAAGGCATTAGAGTCAGAAGAAATCGGAACAAAATCTAAGCACGATTTTCTTAATCTAAGCCAGGACTAGAAATATTTTTTAAAAATTGGTTAAACGTTATAGTAAAAACATACAAAAAAAAATATAGATTTTATTCAATTTAATTGTTTTTTTTTCTTACAAGTTTAACAGTTAATAATTTCCAAACCTGTTATTAAGTGCCATTTTTTATTTCATCGTGATTTCTTTAAATTTTTTATACCGTCTATTAATAAGCCTTTATTCATTAAAGTTGCAAAAACATATAATGCATAGTTTCATTATTTCGCGTTTATAACTTTTATGGGTGTAGTGCAATAAATCAAACTACTGCATTTTTTAAAACTAACTTCCATGCCTGTGAAGTTGGAACTTTTCATTCGAACTTTCTATCACTTTTTGACTAGCTAGAGAACCCAAATTCTTACTGGACCTCCGTGTTTGCTGACAATGCATCTTTTCCTGACCATTACGAGCCACATTTATTTTATTTCATTTCATAATCGGCGTTGATCAACCGACCCACTTCTGAGTTTACGACTATCGATGCTCAACTCCATAGCCTTGTAATTTTGAACCCAACCCAGAAGACAAGAGAACTCCTGGATCAAACATAGTGAGAAATTATCCTTCGGGGAGGATATTTTGATGAAACTAACTCACATTTGAGCTACATGGAGGGGAAAACAGTGAAAACCTCTCTCGATTAGCCTGACGGTAAGGGGATTTCACACAATGAATCAAAATTTTGACTACTTTTCTGTAAACTGCCGTTCTCAAATCTCCACTGCAGCTCTGTGTCTAATGACAATACACGTTCTA